CATGAGACAAAGTATATGTGAGCTGCTGTATGGAAAGTGAATTTGCTCTGTAATCTTCACCCAAATCACAATTAAAAAAAGAAAAGGGCAAGATGCATTGCAAGTTATTAACAGACACAGGAAACAATTTCAAATTCTGCATTGCTTGAAATAAGCAATAAAACAAATTCAGGTTTTCTGGAGTTAGAACATACCTAGACCATTGCATGTACCCAAGAAAGGACTTTAATTGTAAAGCATACCTTGTTTTCTGAATCATGTGTGTTGGTATGGGTCCTAATATTCGTTCCATCATTGCTAGGTGCTCTTTACTATCGTGAGTCTAAAAAAAGTAGGAAAAAGAAATTTAGCACTCTTGTTTTCCTACAGGAACATGAACACGAGGAAATGGTACTGACATAAAAGGAGAAGACTAGACAACTACACAATTTACATTATCCTGCACTTTAAAGATGGAACAATACTGAATGAGCTATGCTGTTTGCTGTAAACTCAGTAAAATTAAAGTCTTTCTGAGATGGATCAGTTAGGTTCTACATAGCAGCCTAAGCCTAACTTGCTCAATAAAAAACTAAATAGCTTTCTTCTCTATTTATATTTCTTGCACTGTTTTTAACTTAAGCAATGACTGAAATAACCATCTTCTCATTTAATCAGGGCTTAACCAAGATTAACCTCCATCATATGACATTCTTTCAGTATGCAAAATCTCCTATATTTATGTAATAGCCAACTATTAACATATACTAATCCTAGTTAATAAAAATTAATTCTCATAACAACCCTCAAAGTGAGGTATAAGAAGTAGCATGAGTTTTAAAGATGGCTAGGCTCTAAGTTATAAAGTTCATAACTGAGGGAACATGAACCCAAATCGAAGCCTGTATTCTTAAACTCTACAATAACAAAACTAGGTTAAAGCAAAATACAGAATACTGTCAAACTTGAAGTTGAAATGGTATTTTCTAAAGAGCAATGGCTGGCAAGCTTTCTGGAAAAGACCAAACAGTATAAATATTTTCAGTTTGGCTGCCTAAATAAAAGGTCTGTCGTATTATTAAAAAGAAAAAAAAATCAGGCTGGATTTGAGCAGAGGCTGTAGCTAATACTTTTTAAAATCTATCAACTACTGTGCTTATTATTAGCACATTCCCTTCCAAATGTTAAGTGCTTAAATTCATGACAGCAATAAATGATACTAGCTTCACATTTTTTTAAAGTTCCTTAGTTTGAGTATTTTACAGGGTGGAATGAAAATATAAACCATATCTCAAATCAACATTAATATTCTAAACTTCATATAAAATCTGAGTGACTTGGAATCTATTATGTGAAGCACTCATTTTACATAAGAGTCAGCATAAAGAAGGCATGCATTCTGATGTTTTCTTACTCCTACAGCTGACTAGTACACAACCAGATCACTTCCTGATTGATAACAAACTTGCCTATAAACTCAGAATAGTTTTAGCAGGATCTCTATGGACTAGACAGAAACTGAAGTCCAGTGAGGTACCCTACAAGCAGTGAAAACATACAATGTGCAATAACCTCTGAGGTGATTCTACACTCAGAACATTATCTACACTTTAAATTAAGCATCATTAACTTCAAATCAATCTTTACAGCACTAAGCCGGATCTCCCTATCACCCCCACCAAAAAAGAAACCCCCATCTTGATCATATCATAATCCTTGATCATATCATAATCCCACTTAAAGTTCTCCAATGGCTGCACATCTACTTTTTGTTTTGCCACATAAGGACTTTTATGAGAAAACAAAAACAAAACCTCAACTACAACTATTACTGTTGTTTGTTGGTAGGTGCCATCGAGTCATTAGCGACTCATAGCAAGCCCAGGCACAGCAGAACGAAACACTGCCCGATCGCACCAGCTCCATGATCCACGCTATACTTGAGCCCATCATCACAGCCACTGCATCAATCCATCTCATTGAAGGCCTCCCCCTCTTTCATCGGCCCTCCAGCCTACCAACCATGGCATCCTTCTCCAGGGAATGGTCCCTTCTGACAACATGACCAAAACAGGTGAGACGATTCCTGGCCATTCTTGCTTCCAAGGACCATTTCGGATGCACTTCCTCCAGGACAGATCTGTTAGTTCTTTTAGCAGTCCATGGTACTTTCAGCATTCTTTGCCAGCACCGCAACTCAAAAGCATCAACTCTTCTTCGGTCTTCTTTATTCACTGTCCAGCTCTCACATGCATACAAGGCTACTGGAAATATCATGGCTTGTG